GGACCGGGGCTACGGCTCGAGCAGGAGACAGCGCCCCGGTTTTCTTCCACCTGCCCGTCAGCTCCCCAGGGTCGCACCTGCTGAGCCCCTCGGTTGGACCAGGGACTGTCAAGCAGCGTTGCGAGGCCGGCGGGGTGCCCCCGGGCGCTGTGAGAGCCCGGCACGGTCCGCCTGGCGAATAGGATGCACAGGATGCCCCCAAGAGACTTCACATTCGAGTCCAGGGCTGTGGTCGTTTGGAGTGTTTTGCAACAGGAAAATCGCTGTCTGTCTTCCTGCGCGCAAAACAAGAGTGAAAACCGAGAGCTGGTGTCTTCCGAGAGGGCCTTGAGTCCCTCCAGGGGCGCCTGGCTGCCTGCCGGCCACCGAGCCGAGCTGCCATTGCCTGGGTGGGCCGTAGGTCTCCTGTGTGGCGCAAGGGCAGAGCACAGGTGCTGGGGAGGAGGGAACTGGGTATGACCTGGGTTTTTGCACTGTTTCTCTCGCTTGTAGCTTGCAGCATCTAATGTCTAGGAAGTTCTGATTCAGAGGCTGTGTCCCTCACTCCTGCCCTCAGTAGCTACTGATGCCCCCATGGATTTGTCCTGTCTTTTGAATCTGAATACGCTGTCATCTTTACCCAATGTCACTGAGCCCATTTTCTCTTCTCTCTTTTTAAAGGTAACTCAGAAGTGCCAACAGCAGTTAATATAACTTGGACATCAATCAATTTTAAAACACTACTAAAGTGGCTGCCAGAGCCGACCAACTATGCTTACACCGTAGAAATATTTGGGTAAGTAGAAATAATTGGAAATGTGTTTGTGCCAAAGCATATTGACCCTCTTTTTAAGTTTATACATAAGCTTCTGTATAAACTTATAAGAGTAACTTGGAGAGAGTTCTAGCATTTTGCAAATGGATTTTTGTATTAATCAGCAACTCATTAAAAGTACTGGTAATAATTAGTCCTGTTGGGTAACATTCAAATCGCCTCTGTTCATCTAAATCTGTCTAGCCTTCCTTTGTCTCCTTCATGGTTTATAAAACAAATGTTGTCACATACCGGATGAATAAAACCCAAGCTTGCAGAAGTGCCTAACATTTTTTTTGATTGTTACAATGTTCCACCTCAATATCTGTAGAATATTAAAACTTCTGTGAATTAGCTTAGGAAATGATGATTAAACATGTCCCAAAGAGAAACTGCATTATTGCTCTGTCTACAGCGTGGTGCCACTTATATTACTGTAACAATTTCTGGCAGGTTCAGTGCCTGTAACTGAGGGCTCAATATAATGAGCAATGAGAAAAATACCTAAGCAATAATTCAGTGACCTGACCTTGTCAGTGTGAGTCTGGGGCAATTGAATGACTTTGCCCAATCCGTGACAGCATTTTGAAGGCAAACGTTTAAACAGAACTCCATAACGCAGCCAAATGGTGCAATCCTGCAAATGCTGATAGACACAGGCTTCCATATCATGTAGTATGATCCATGTAATTCCCATCAAGAGAGGTCCACTTACTTAAATCAGATGGTTCCCTATAGTGTGGCATAGTAGTTGACTAGTGCAAATCACTGCGCAGGATCAGGACCATAGAGGTCAGCATTCTGCCTAATTAGGGCCATACTTCCAAAGGTATTTGTGTTTCTAGCTGCCTCTTTAGACACCTACTGTTCAGTAAGTTAGCCAAGTTGGTTTTCAGAAAACCCTAAATATCTGTTTGTACCTTCTACCTTTTAAAATTTGGTGCTGAGTCCATTTGATGTTGATTGGGCCTTTAGGGAATTCTATGTGCATGTAATATAACATGAATCATACAGGACCAAACTTTGCTAGTCTTAATCACGCAAATAGTTATATCTTAAGAAGGAGTCTGATTCACTTTTTTTTCTGGTTTAGTTTGAGCAGAGTCTAACAAAAGCTAGTTAATTTGCAAGTTGTACTATTTTAGTACTAAGCCTCTTATATGAATAGAAATGATCCTTTGGAGAGAACAATTAAATAATGTTACAAAAATTACTTAAATGTACTTGGAGGCAATGTGAACAGACTGGTATTAATTACTTCGCTTTTTTTTTTTTAGTGAAAAAATAGCTGTATGATGAGATCTGTAAATGGAAGTACTGTAGACTTCCACAGGCGCAGTAGTACACCCATGTGGATGCATTCACTAGTAGCAAAAGTACTGTACCTTGCTCTCAACCCCTAACAGCCTATTTTTGATACTGCCACAACTATTACCTCTATCCCTCCATCCATCCCAAATGAGAAGTGCAAACAGTTTTGAGTCCTTTGCACTTTAATTTCATAAGTTACATGAGTACAGTTTTCCTTCTGACTTAGTGTGACAAAACTGCTTTGTTTTCTTTCAGTCAATTGTTTATTTAATATAAAGAAGTTCTTACTCCTGTTATTGATGATGATAAATGGATTTTTAATGTTGCTTATACCATCTAGTGAAGACAAGCATAATTGCAGGATAAGAAATTTCTTCATGATGTCTGTCAGCAGGGCCTTTTTAAGCCTTTATTATTTTAGGGTATAGGATCTGAAAATGTGTTATTGCCTGTAAACATTTTCAGATTTCCATGCCATGTAATCCTACAAGTGACTTGAGAGTACATTTTGAAAAATTTCTGCCTTTTTATTATAGAATATCTTTTAAAGTCAGTCAGAATGTATTCAATGGCAATTTATTTTCAATTCGGATATAAAAATGTATGTCCACATTTAGGTATAGACATAAAGCCATATATTTCTCTAAACTGCATGTTGCTTTTTAGCAGAGAAGGAAAGTCAGTTAGTTTACTCTCCATGTTGTTTGAGTTGGTTAAATCTTTTTTTTTTTTTTTTTTTTTAATTGTAAAGCTACCCTGTTTACATGGTCTGGAAAACAAATTTAGGTGTATAGGTACAAGAATGCTACATTCAAAGTTTTAAAAGTGGAACTATTTTAGCCAGGTACAATATATGCCTAAAACTGTTAACAAAAATTTAATGCATTAAAAATGTCACTTGTTCCTTTTAGGATTCACACTAACATAAGAAGAAAATGCATCCACACAAAAGAAACAGTGTGTGATGTTACTGATATCATACTAGAGAATGTAAAAGACACCTATACTGCACATATAGTGTCTGACATGCTTTCAAATATAGATGACTTTGATGAGAAACCTTATGCAGCCTCTCCAAAATTCACACCTTACGAACAGAGTAAGTAAATTGCCTTCATGTTGTCTTTCCTCATGCTTTAACTAATTTATAGGACAAGTCTCATTTATGATAACTGGACTGGAATTAGGATAAAGACGTTTTCCATTTTGAGGTCTCCTCACAAAGCTCATCCTCGAAAGTCATTCATAGCTAAATATTTTTGCTGGTACTGTGGACCACATAAGTGGAAAGGTGCATCATAACCACATATTGTGAAGTTTAAGTAGTATATACAGGCTTGGAATATTTATTAATGTACTACCTAGACACTAAAACTTTAGAAGTATGTTGTAGGGGGTTGCAGAGAGTGGGGCGGGGAGACAGAATGCTTGTGGGGGACGGGGAGGGGAGAGAAAATTTGTCAATCTTCTTTGTCTACAATTTTAATTCTGAAATAATTGCTTATATTTAGCTTTAATTGGGAAACCAACTATTCAAAGTTCTATGCAGAATGGATCCAAGTTGATAGTGTTGGTTCAAGATCCATTTATACCCTCAACATTTCCCAATGAAAGCTTGAAGAGCATCAGAGACATTTTTAAGGATGATCTGGAATATGTACTCTATTACTGGAAAGATAAAAGTTCAGGAAAGGTAGGCTTGTTTTGTGGAGTTTGTTGTTTTGTATGTGACAGTTACACAACTTCTATGGTATATTAAGAATTAACTTCTGGACAAAACACCACCTTAGGTGATTAAAAAAGACTTCCTTTTTCTCCACAGAAAAATGCAAAAACCAAAAGCAATCAATTTGAAATCGATGTTGACAAAGAAGAGAACTATTGCTTCTTTGTACAGGCAACTGTTCCTTCACGTACAGAGAACCGCAACAGCCTGGAAAGTAAAGTGGCTTGCACCAGTATTTCCAGAAATATTTTGCATGGTATGTATCTGAAGGAAATGTGGCTTGACTCTTGCATTCCAACAAAAATAATTCTAATCCTCTGTTTGCTTATATTTTTAAGGAAACACTTATGAACAAATTTCAGAATAAACTTTCTTGCTTAAATTATGAGGAGCACTTTTGCCCCCTGCAGTGCAGAAACTGATGGGGAGAAATCACAGAAATTCCTCACTAACCACTTAGATCATACTATAGTAATAATAATAGCTGCTAGTTATTTAACTGGGAGATGAATCTTCCATCTACAACCACCTATGGCTATTCATTCCTCTAGAGGAGGAAGAAGTTTAGTTGATGGCTTTTCTGTCATTTCAAATAATTTCAGATTCTCTCCCTACTATTTTTGGTAAGATTAAAAAAATGTGGTTTGATATTGCAATAATATGAGCTGCAGTCAACTCCATCCAAAACTGCATGTGTTTGGCAGATAATATTTTAGCCCAAGGGTCTGTTAAGGTTTGACTAATATATAGCTACTTAGGGAAGACTAAATTCATAACTTAGCTGGTTCAGATTTAAAAGTGGGTAAGCTAAATTTAGTGTTTCTTAATAGGGCTTAGTGCAGCATGTCTGAAGAAAAGGGCTTCTTCAAGGGACCTAAAGAGCTCTCTAGTCTAGTCCGGATCTTAGGATAAAGAAACTGGCTATTCGTGTAAAATCTTTGCACAATGATGTTACTAAGTCTTTGTATATCTTTTTTTTTTCCTTTTCTCCCCCTTTCCCTTCCTTCCCCCACCCTTAACAGAGTACCGAATCGACCTATTTGTTATCATAGGGGCTGCTGTATTAGTAATCATCATTATAATCATCGTTGTATCTGTGGTCATCTATAAATGCAAGAAAGAGAAAGCTGAGACAGTGAAAGAGAAAACACCACTTAATGATGTCTGAGGAAAAAGTCTCATTACTACTGCAAATACTACAGGAAAGCTCATGGTACTTGTTGGAGAACACTACAGTCTCTAAATATTTTTATTATATTTTTAGCCTTTACTTAAGAGCGAAGGAACATTTGTTTCTGTGAAACAAATATGATTGTATTTTTTAAATAATGTAAGTGGTGATAGGGACTGGTAAAATATGTTACTTCACAGCATAAAAACACTAGTTTTTATTCTACACTTTTTTTTATACATAGGTCTGCCTTTTTAGTTTGGATATTCTGTCCATCAGGTAGGTTATCAAAGCTGAACAAATAAGTGACTTCCTAGTCTCCCAGTAACTTGGTGAGGTAGTGACATGATTTACATCACAAATTTTAACATAAAAAAAATTTATGCAGAAAATCCAAACTGTTACTGGACACGCTCTCAAAGCACTTGCTATCAATCAAGAGACAGCATAACCAGTCTGAACTCTGGCATGCTTCTGGGATCTCTAGGTAATGTCAAACTGAATAATTTGCATTTGCATTACCTGCTATTTTGAATTGGTAGACTGAATATGCAGTAGTAGCATTTGCTGTATAGCAAATGCAATGCTGATGATTAAACACTGACAGATCAATATTTTGTTAATGATATCTGTACACAGGACAAGCTGATGTGATCTAGATATACCTCAGATTTACAATAATTTTAAATATTTATAGTTTTATAATTGGGAATCTAATTTTATATGGGCAATATTTGTATATATTGTGGTAACTTTATTTATACTTTTTTTTTTACTGAAATAAACATGAATCTGAAAATACTGTTTTAATTATTATTGTAACATGACATTCAGTGTAGGAATCCAGTGAAATGTGGATTTTGGAAATATGTGGTGCACCCCTCAGTTGAGTTGTCAACAGGGCAAATATCCTGCAGTGAGCTCTGCTGCTCTAGCTACACTTACGTTTTTAAAGCTAATATGGATGTCTGTGAAGGTGTCTCTCTTACCCCGTAGTAGAATTAGTTTAATACTTTATAAAAGCAAAGCATTAGTGCTGTCAACCTGCCGAGTCTGCACACATGCATGGACATTGTTTCTCTCAAATTGAGTTTAGTTACTTGTATTTATTAAGGAAGTCTTGCACTGAAGTGAAACTTTACTTTTACAGTGTATTTGTTACTGTAAGTACTGTACTATCTACATAAAAGAAAAATGCATATTTTACTCTAGGTGTAGGTCTCAAAATATATTACACAGCTTCTAGGGAAACCTTATGCATTTACTGTAAGGAACACTGACTTATAATAGTCAGATCCTACATGAGAACTGTCTTGACTTATAACACAGCACATTCTACAGAACACTTCATAAGGGAGAGAAAAATAAATATCCTTATTCTGGTTTTACAAATTGGGTAATTCAGTCACTGCAAAATTCATCTTGCATATTTTATACCACAAGCAATTGATAAACACACGCTTCCTACCTACTGCACTTGATAAAATTAGAAAAAGCAGATTCTATAATGCCCAAGGTGTACAAACAGATAGATAGGTGAACAGCCAGCAACCAGGGAGCTGGCAAACAGGAGCTGAAAACAGGGTAAGCAGTTTGCAGGGCAGTTCACGGGCTCCCCCCACCCCCGGGCCACCCGTCTTCTTTTGAGCGGCAAGTCTTCCAGCTTGGTGTGAAGAAGCAGGAGGGGAAAAAAGGGAACACTTTGGGGCCAATGAGAAATAAACAGGCCAGTTCTAGCTGAGTTTGCTAGGCAAGGTCTGCTTGGAAGAAGAGCAGTAAGAGACAAGGCAGATTAAGAGACCCAAGGAAATGGCTGGAGAAGCCACTGCCTCTGCTTGCACCTGAGCGCTCACCACCAAGGCTTCCAGCCAGGTCCAGGTTTGACGCTGCAGGGACTGCAGCTTGCAGGTTGCTTCTGGTGACAGCCAGGTTGGGGAGTGCCTGAAGTGTGAGCAGTGCCTCTTGGTGGTGTCTCTCAGGGAACAGGCAAGAGAACTACAGGAGGAGGTGCTGAGGCTCCGAAGCATCCTATACCATGAAGCATTCATTGATTCAGTGCTGGAGGAGACCTCCAGGACTGAAGGAAGAACTGCCAGACACAACACTAGAGAAGAGAAAGGACATGGACACTCAAGAAAGTGGAAGTTGGAGGCTTGTGACTTCTGGCAGCAAGCAGAAATCTGCAGCTCCATCTGCAGTCATTCAGCTGGAGAACAGATATGCAGCCCTAGCAGCAGAGGGGGAGGAGCACGTTCCATTGGTGGAGGAAGACAGGCCAGGCCTAGCCAAGGTGGGAAGGATTGAGATGATGACCACCAAAAAGAAGTGACGGGTGGTGTTGGTTGGAGACTCCCTTCTGCAGGGGATAAAGGGAGCCATCTGCCGACCTGACCTGTTGTCTCAGGAGGTCTGCTGCTTGCCCGGAGCCTAGATCTGAGATGTCACGGAGGGACTACTGAGGCTCGTCTGGCCCTCTGAGTACAACCCCATGCTGCTCATTCATGTGGGCACCAATGATACTGCCAGGGGAGACCCTGAGTATATCAAGAGTGACTACAAGGCTCTGGCTGCAAGGGTGAGGGGGTCTGGGGCTCAGGTTGTGGTCCTGTCAATCCTTACACTCAAGGGAAAGGGCGCAGGCAGGAACAGGTGCATCCTGCCAATCAACACTTGGCTGCACAGGTGGTGTTGCCAGCAGGGCTTTGGCTTCTTCAACCATGGGATGTTCTTCCAAGAAGATTGATTGCTGGGAAGAGATGGAATCCTCCTGACAGAGAGAGGGAAGAGTGTCTTTGCAGACAGGCTTGCTAACCTAGTGAGGAGGACTTTAAATTACGTTCACTGGGGGATGGAGACCAAAGCCTTGAGATAAATGGAGAAGCAGGAGACCTGGAGGAAGAACAAACAGGAGGGGGCAACAGGCAAGGTGCTCTCATACTTCCTGAGAAATCGGCAATAAACTAGTTACCCCAGGTGCCTGTACACAAATGCACGGAGCCTGGGAAAATGAGCAGGAAAAATTGGAAGTCCTTACACAATCACAGAACTATGATGTGATTGGAATAACAGAGACCTGGTGGGAGCTCACATGACTGGAGCACTGTCATGGATGGGTACAAACTGTTCAGGAAGGACAGGCAGGGAAGAAGAGGAGGAGGAGTTGCACTTTATGTAAAAGAGCCATACGATTGCTCACAGCTCCAGTATGAAACTGGAGATAGGCCTGTTGAGAGTCTCTGGGTTAGAGTCAGAGGGGAGAGAAACAAGGGTGATGTAATGTTGGGGTCTGCTATAGATCACTGGACCAGGAGGAAATGGTGGATGAGGCTTTCTTCAAACAGATAGCAGAAGTTTCTCGATCACAGGCCCTGGTTCTTCTGGGGGACTTCAATCACCCTGACATCTGCTGGGAGGGCAATACAGCAGTGTGCAGGCAATCCAGGAGTTTTTGGAGAGTGTTAGGGACAATTTCCTGGTGCAAGTGCTGGAACGGTCAACTAAGGGCCATGCCCTTCTTGACCTGCTGCTCACAAACAGGGAAGAATTGGTGGGCAATGTAGCATAGTGAGTGGATGACAACTTGGGCAGCAGTGACTACGAGATGATTGAGTTCAGGATCCTAAGGAAAGGAGGGATGGACCCTGGACTTCAGAAAAGCAGACCTCAACTCACTCAAGGAACTCATCGGCAGGATCCCGTGGGAAGCCAGTCTAAAGGGGAGAGGAGTCCAGGAGAGGTGGCTGTACTTTAAAGAAGCCTTACTGAGAGTGCCAGAACAAACCATCCCAATGGGCAGGACGACTAGCAAGTATAGCAGAAGATCAGCTTGGCTTAGCAGGGAACTCTTCAGTAAACTAAATCACAAAAAGTAAGGTTATAAGAAAAGGAAACTTGGACAAATAACTAGGGAAGAATATAAGACCATTGCTTGGGCATGCAGGGATGAAGTCAGGAAGACCAAAGAATAATTGGAGTTTCAGCTAGCAAAGGATGTGAAGGGTAACAAGAAGCATTTCTACAAGTATGGCAGTAGCAAGAGGACAATCAGAGAAAGTGTGGTTCCCTTACTGAATGAGGAGTGGGGGGCAACCTTGTGACAGATAATGCAGAAAAGGCTGAAGTGCTCAATGCTTTTTTGTCTCAGTCTTCACAGGCAAGGTCAGCTGCCAGACTACTGAAAAGTACAGCACAGTTTGGGGAGGAGGTGAGAAGCCCTCAATGCTGAAAGAACAGGCTACATAGAAAAGCTGGATGTGAGCAGTTCAATGGGGCCAGATGGGATATGCCTAAAGGTACTGAGGTAGGTGGCTGATGTGATTGCAGAGCTATTGGCCATCATCTTTGAAAACTCATAGTGATCAGGAAAGGTCCTGGGTGGTTAGAAAAGGGCAAGCATAGTGTCCATATTTAAGAAAGTGAAGGAGGAGGATCCAGGGAACTACAGACTAATCAGCCTCACCTCTGTTCCTGGAAAAATCATGGAGCAGATCCTCAAGAAATCCATTTCTCAGCACTTAGAGGAGAAAAAGGTGATTAGGAACAGTCAACATGGATTCACCAAGGGCAAGTCATGGCTGACCAATCTGATTGCCTTCTATGACAAGGTGACTGGCTATGTGGATGTGGTGTATCTTGATTTTAGCAAGGCTTTTCATAAGGTCTCCCACAGCATTCTTGCATGCAAGCTGAGGAAATATGGGCTAGATGAATGGACTGTAAGGTGGATAAAAAACTGGCTAGAGTATTGGGCTCAGAAAGTAGTAATCAATGGCTCAATGTCTAGTTGGCAGCTGGTATCAAGTGGAATGACCCAAGGATAGGTCCTTGTGCCAGTTTTGTTCAATGTCTTCATCAGTGACCTCGGAGATGGCATAGAGTGCATTCTCAGCAAGTTTGCAGATGACACCAAGCTGAGAAGAGTAGTATACTGGAGGGTAGGGCTAGGATTCAGAGTGACCTAGACAAATTGGAGGATTGGGCCAAAAAAAATCTCATGAGGTTCAACAAGGACAAGTGCAAAGTCCTGCACTTAGGGCAGAACAATCCCATGCACCAGTACAGGTTGGGGGCTGACTGACTGGACAACAGCTCTGCAGAAAAGGACCTGAGGGTTACAGTGGACAATAAGCTGAATATGAGCCCTTGTTGCCAAGAAGGCTAATGGCATACTGGGCTGCATTGATAGGTGTGCTGCCAGCAGGTCAAGGGAAGTGATTATTCCCCTCTATTTAGCACTGGTATGGCCACATCTGGAGTAGTGTCTTCAGTTTTGGGCCCCCCACTACAGAAAGGATGTGGAGATATTGGAGAGTTGAGGAGAGGGCAACAAAAATGGTGAGGGGGCTGGGGGACATGACTTATGAGGAAAGACTGAGGGAACTGGGCTTATTTAGTCTAGAGAAGAAAAGACTGAGGGAGGATTTAATAGCAGCCTTCAACTACCTGAATGGGGGGTTTGAAAAAGGATGGAGCTAGACTGTTTTCAGTGGTGGCAAATAACAGAACATGGAGCAATGGTCTCAAGTTGCAGCAAGGGAAGTTTAGGTTAGATACTAGGAAGAATTTTCTCACTAGGAGAGTAGTAAAACACTGGAACAGGTTACCCAAAGAGGTGATGAAAGCTCCATCCTTGGAGGTTTTCAAAACCTGGCTAGACAAAGCTTTGGTTGGGATGATCTAGTTGGGGATAGCCCTCCTTTGAGAAGGGGCTAGACTAGATGACCTCCTGAAGTCCCTTCCAACCCTAACTTTTTATGATTCTGAATCAGTGCACAGTAACCAGCATTACTGCATAACAGC